TACTTTGTATATTGGTACCTCGTGTCACATACTAATATAGGTATTTGAAATACTAACAGACAATGGTTTCATAATATTATAGTTGATAGTTACAATGTCTAATTTACTACGGGCAAAGTATACTTGGACCGGTGAAAGTATAACCTTGCCCGGTTAGGTTAACAGCTGCCCAACCAATATCCAGTACTACAAATTCAACGTCAAACATCTTGCACGAACTCAAAATATTATTAAATCCATTAATTTCTCTAATAACTTTAATTTTAAGCAAACTCACAACAATATTCCCATAGTAGTCATGATTTCTAACACTAAATCTCTTATCTACTAACCTCATTAAAATTATCTACAATATATTCCATATTCTATTTGTATAAACTGTATATTATCAATATTACTTATGTTATAAATATGTTACATATAAAATTTTAAAACTGTCAAAATACTTGTAATAACACCCAGTGGGTTGAAACATTTTAATTTGTAATAAAAAAATAAAAATGTTTTGCCCAAAAACAGCAGGCTAAATATACAAAGACTGGGCAATGTGAACATTGCCCAAAAGTCTACTTTGCCCATAACATATACATTAACTAAATTTATACATTGTGTGTTTTTATTATATTATGCTATGGATCTCGATATTTACTATAACATAATATTAGACAAGGATGAATTCAGGGAGGCTAGGGGCCTAGTCCCCTCAGACATATTATTTTTCAAATTTTTTTATAATTTTACAGATCCTGATATTATTATATTCAAATCACATTTACATCTGATAACGTATTATATAAGGAGGTTATATATATTACATGTATATTGGAAAAAACAAAAATGTAAATAAAGAGTTAGATTTTATTATTTAATTTATAAATATTATATTATATTAAATAATTGTTAATTTATTTCATTAATTACCTATACCTACTATTATGATAAAAATTTTAAATTATAAATAAAATATCTATGAAAAAATTGTTTGGCCCCTCCCTCAGATATTACTCTTTATCTGTACTTGAATAATTATTAGATAAAGTATACGGTTAGGTATGATGCTTAGTTATTAACCTTATGTAAATGAGTAATATTTAAATATGTATTTCATACTCTATACCATTTAAATATTTAATTATGTTTATCTATGATTTTTTAGAATTAACCCCATAAAAAATGTGTTAGTATTATAAGTTTATATCATCATATAAATTTAATATTCGATTCTTCACACACGAAAAAACAATATTGACTTTTCATATTATCTTTAGAAAATCATTACATAGCATGTTAAAGTTAAGTGTATTTGTCATAATTACATATCTTTTCAAATTCTGAGAAGCTGAGCATTATACTAACTTTATAATGATCTGTTATTGTCAATTGTCTTTGTGTATTGTGTTATATGTACTTTTAGTAGATAAAGTGCTTTGATCTTCAATGTTAAGAGTGATATTTAATAACAAAATTGATCTAGTTAAGTTAGTACTTTTCAAAATATTATAAACAGAATAAAAAAAAATAAAGTAAGGATAAACATAAATCTTTTGTTGCGTGCCAATATCAGATCCAGATCCAGGGTGTTATTTAAATAAAATTTACAACTCTTAGAACAATAATGTTTTATTACGTATAAATAAAGTTCATGTAACTGATACAAAAAGTGGCAGAGTGTTGTGAAGTTGCTCAGGTCTTTGTGGCTCTGGTACATCTGCCCTTGTTGGTCTCTGGACTCCCTTATATACAAAGAAGTCTCTAGTTGTTGTAGTCGACAACCTTCTAATTCATATTAATTTTTGGAGTTGTTATCACACTTGAAAACAACAATCTCCAGGATGTCTTCTGTTCTTAATTGGCAATTCGTGGAAATGCAATAATATATTTAAACGACTGCTATTTTGATATATTTATTATGATGTTTTTTAAAAACAAGGTCATAGAAATATGAATCTACTATCTCGTATATATTATAATTATTAGGCCATATATATATATATCTATATTACTAGTGCTAATACTTCTAGCAATATTACATATTATATTATATATACTTATATTATTAGCATATCTCGTAGCCCATAACACTTTACGGAAAACCTATTTTTGACAAAATTAATTTTTTAGGTTTAACAAAAAAAAGATTAATTTAAGGTTCTTAAATGTGTACCAAATGTTTAAATTGACATTTTACATATATAGTATGAATTTAAATAATGTTTGACACTTTTTAGCTATTTATTACTATTTGGTTAGTTTTGTTTTTACATTTTGGTATATAAATATTTTATTTGTCCGTTAAAAAGCTTGAAAATTAAATTTAATATTTTCCATTAGCAACAAATAACTTCAGTATAAAATTCTGAAATTGATAAATTTTAAATACATAAAAAAAAGATTTTTTTAAAGACATTTGAAGTTTGAATTTGAACGAAATTAAATATTTATACAATTAAATAATGGCTGTGGTTTTTTTAAATGTTAACAAATATTAAATTGACATTGTTATGTGTATGTATTATAATATTTTATTTGCAGAATGAGATTTTCAAATTCAAAGTTTTTGACAAAAATAATTCAACCAACCACTTGAGATGTTAAGTGTGTTTTTATTAATAGTATTATTCATACTTATTTACCCTCAATTTTGATACACTTTAAAATCTAATAATACCTAAGTAGCATTAGACATAGAATAAAAACAAAGAAGAGAATTATGTGTAGAAGTAAGAAATACTTTTTTTAAAGACTCTAAAGCTCGATTTTTAAAAACACAAAAAATAGTCTGTTTGAAAATTTCCTTAATTATAAGCCAATTTTAACAATAGGTACATTTATTTACTTTTAAACTCGAATATTTAAAATAGGTATTTAAAATTTACAATAATCAAATCATAGTACAATACATAAGTTAATATTTACTAGTATTCTGAGTTATGGTAAATTATATGGCAATACATAAACTTAAATACCAGAAAGTAATGAAAGTCAATATTAAGTTTTATTATGAGCTAGATACATGAATACAACCATTAAATTACTTACGAGTAAATCATAATTTAAAAAAATTATTAAAAAAGAATATTGCCATTTATAATTATTAATTAAACAAAATAAAAATTTATTATTAAACTATATTATATACAAGGTATTAAACACATGGCTTAAAATTATTTTATGCAGACAGTATAAAAAAAGTTAAGGCGTTCTTTTTAGTTATTATTGTGATGAATAATATTTTTATTATTCATAATAATTATCATTTATAATTTTAACATGTTTATTCGTGGGTTAGAAATGATTCAAATCAATTGTACTATTATAATATTGTTAATATTGGTAAAATAAAATAGTATATAAGCATTAATTATGGTTTACTATTTATTTGTGTTTACAACTTTAACATAAAGAACAGATACTCTAATACCTTTGTTCACTTAAACATTTTAGGAATAAAATATTTTTTTTACTTAATTTGTGATATTAATATTAGAACTTAGTACATGAAGTAAAAATGTAGAATCAAAAAGTCAGTGATATATTTATTTGTTAATTGGCAAATAGTAAGGTAGCTCAAATCCTAATTTATTTTGAAAAATACTAATAAAATTCATTTGATATTTTAATCATACCTACAATTTACTATGAAATATAAATTGTGATAAAAATATTTTAATTTTAATCATTTCTAGTCACTATTGGTAGGTATATGAAATGATGGTATATGGTACATATATTTAAAATGTTTAAAACTTACAATAAACGGTTTAATATTATTATCTTGTATAATTTGATCACATTTACTATTTAGATTTTAACGAGAGAATCTTAATAGTATAAAATTATAACGTATTTAGTTATCAAAAATAAAATATTTTTAAGTATAGTTTGTTGACTTTTGTCCTTTCTATTATATTATTTAGATAGCACAGTTTTATCAAGGCCATAGTAGGTATTAGTCATAATAATGATTATAATATCTACATTATATTTTGTATTCAATTTGAGTTTTGTATGTTGGTCGATTTCAAGTAGAACACTATAAGAACATAATGAGATTTTAATTATTTTATAGCTATTAAGTATAATATAACTATTCGTATATTATTTCCATTTACGCTAATTATATGGTTAAATGTTAGCCCAATGAAATAAAATCGTGAAAAACATTTCTGTACATTGGCATGTATTGTTATATAAATATGTAAAACTCAATTAAACAATATTTTTCAATAAGAATTTTTATATTTAAGATTTAAAATTTATTGCAAGATTCTTAATAAGTTTTTCAACTTATTTGGCAAAAAAAAAATAAGCTAACTTACTTGAAAAATTACATTTTTTAGGTGTATTAAGTTTCAACTATTTATCCTCAATGATTTTTGACAAATAACTGTAGAAACTGAACATTTTCACGAAATATATCACTAAATATATATGCAATCACTTTTTATGTTGTCACTTTCAAAATATTAATACTCTCTCTAAACGATATATAGACGTTTTATATTTTTATTTTTATAGTTGTTGATAAAAAAAAATAAAAAAAAATACAGTCATTAAGTGCTTAGTATTTGAATACAAGATCAATATAAGTGTCATAAGTTGTTCTTATAGATATGTAAAAACATTTAAAATACTTAATATGCACAATTAATATTTATAAGCATTTAAAGTTTAAATTTGAAAACAATTTCAAATTTAAATGATGAATAACAATATTCATTATATTGTTATTGCTTACAAAAAATATTTGTAAATCGTGGCGACACAAGATTTATTTTTTAAAAATACAATAATATTTTAAAGAACAATGTTTATGGAAAAAAATAATTCATTTACCTATCTATTGTATTACTAATAATACTATAAGTTACTCAACCTAATAGCATTATTAAAAAACATGTTAAATCATGAAGTAACATGTAAATATATTATATATACGTCATCATCAAGAAACACATTTGTAATGATATTAAAATTAAAAAAAAATAATATTATTCCAGGAGATACATCAAAAGTTATTATCATCTTATCGTTCTAAGATGGGCATGACTCTGTTAGCTATTAATGGACATCAGTTAAGACTTGCAATGATGAATGATGATGGTAGCGCTTTTTTTATTCTTCGCATATTGATTTTGGGAATTAGTTTATTGTTACAGGTAATTTTACATGTAATTATTTTTAGATTTTATAATAATTTAATTTGGTATATTAAATTTTAGTTGGCGTAGCGCTTTTACTAATTGCTTGGTATAATGTGACTAATTAAAACCAACGAAATATGTCAATTAAATTGGAAAACTACGTCATTGTTGGTATATTCTGTTGACATTTTTGTCATTTTTTTTTTTTCATTTTTAAGTCATACTTGCATTTATTTTTTTTTTTAGGTCATTTTCTAATATTTTTAAGGTCATCAACTTCCGAGCCCTAATTATTACGTTGAAATTATTGTAATAATTGCGAAATTAAATTATTTGTCAACGCGCTGTCTACGGTGAAACACGGACTGCATTTAATTACGTACGTATTGTATTTAGTATAGTTAATATTTTGTTTTATTGTTATACTTTTATGGATATCGAAATATTTTAAAAAATTCCAAGCTTTGTGATTCTATTAATGAAGTCTCTTGTGACTCGACTTCAATTATTGAAATAAATTATACAGTCAATACTGCAGAGTCGTCGAAATCGTGTGTAGTTGAAAGATATTTAATAACGACTAATTAATTACATATAATTCTGAAATATTTTGTGGTTTGCTTGGAACAAACTTGTTTTAATGTAATTTTTGGTGTTTGATTTCATCGGCACCCCTTCCTGATAAATTTCCTGCAGGCGCCCATGAGCTGTAGTAATACGTATACTATCACACTATTACTTCAACTATTATTATTATCATCATCATTTTTTTGTACTAAGGCGGCTGCAGCTTAACAGTTTCTAAGTGTATAGGCAATTATTTATATTACTAGTCTATATTGGTGTAAATGTGTGTGTAAAGTAAATGAACGTTAGTGTGTGTGAACTGTGAATTTCCATGAAATTTCAAACAGTAGTAATGATAACGACGCCCAATATTTTAATAACTGCATAAAATTGGATGGGCGAATGTAAGTTCCTACACGAGACCTAGCAGGTAAACAAGATACATATGTTAGTTCCTACACGATAGAATAAAGGTACATATAAGTTCCTACACCAGTAAAAGCAGGTACATGTCATAAGTTCCTACAAGTAAAGAAGGTGCAATAATGTAGTTCTACACATTAAAAATTTTCTGTAAGTTCCTACACTAAGTATATTATAAGTTATCAATCTAATATCCGATTTATCATATTATAATACTGCCGCATTTAACCCTTTATTCTATATTTATATAAATTCTTTATAATATTTAATAATTTACCTAATAAATATTATCAATTTAATAATTTAAAAACCATGTTGCCAATATACTAATAATTCATCATTTATTGTAAAAATTATAAATAATGCAGTCTATATAATATTTAATAATTTAAAAATAATTCATCATTTATTGTAAAAATATAAGTAATGCAGTCTATATATTTAATAATTTAAAAATAATAGTGCAACCATAATAATTCATCATTTATTGTAAAAATATAGTAATGCATTCTATATATTTAATAATTTAAAATAATAATTGGCAATATAATAAATAATTCATCATTTATTTGTAAAAATTATAAA